CAAAAAGAGAGGAAGGAAGGAAGGAAAGAAGGAAGGAAGGAAGGAAGGAAAACAAAAAAGGAGGAGGAGGAAGGGAAAGAGAAGGGGAGAAAAAGAAAGGAAAAAAGAGATAGAGTTGGGAAGGAAGAAGGAAGGAAGGAAGGAAGGAAGGAAGGAAGGAAGGAAGGAAGGAAATAGGAGAAATTAAATGGAAAGAAACTCAACTAAAAAAGGAAAGAGATTAAGAGGAAATGAGTAAAGGCAATTAAAAAGAAAGGAAACATAGAAAAAGTTTTTTACAAAGAGAGAGGCAGGAGGAAGGAAGGCAGAGAAGAGAAAAAAGAACGGAAAAATGAAAACTCTGCACGAGTAACATAGAAAACGACTGCGGTTCAGAGAGACTGTCCTCGTTCAGAACCACAAGGAAGCTGCAAGAAAGGCACCCAAGAGTGAGAAAGGGTGAAAAAAACGAGATTCCCCCCCCCCCAATGAAGAAGTTTAATTCTTTAGCAGCCGAGAGACCCAAATTTCCAATCTGGGTTCAGGGAGGCAGGGAAGATCTCATCTGCGGGGCCGGAATGACTTCTCTATGGCGCCCAGAGAAACGGGGAAGTGTCCCCCGCTTCTCTAAATGGGAAGATAAAAGGGGGAAGGCCGAATGGGTGCGTTTCCAGCCAGAGAGAGAATGACTCTGGCTAACAGTAGTGGGTGGTGGTCGTGGTGACGATGATGATGGTGATTCTGCGCAGGCTACGTCCCCAGAGCTCTTCCAAAGTGTACTGAGCTTAACAGATGAAGCTGCATCCGATGTAAAATGCCCTGGGGGCCATGATCTTATATCTCCCTCCTTGGGAGAAATATTCAGGAAATAGGCCTGTGTAAAAAGTGTGCCCACCGGGGAATTGGTTTCTGGTTGATGTCCTCCCCCTCCAGAATTGGTGGGGGGAGCTCTGGGCTGAATGGAGAACCAGTTCGCCCCTCGGAAAGCAGATGGGCGAGCTGATTCTCATCTGCATTCTTCTTTTTCCTGGGGAGGGAAAAATCTGCCCCCTTAAGGGTGGACAGGAAGGTTTCTGCTGTCCCCCCACTTGCGAGGGGAGAAGTTTAGATCGTAGGCTCCTCCAGGGTGTGTTTTCTCACAAGCAAGTGTCCTCAATGTCCAAAGATCTTCCAAAGCTTTGGAGAACCTCTTCAAATTGATCCTCGGTTGGTCCATTTTATTTGCAACGGGTGAATCAAGACCAGAGTGGACTTCCCCAAATGCGTTGATCACTGAAAGGTTTCTGGGTACTATTTTATTTTATCTTCAGACATGTTCGTGGATTTTGAGGTGCGCAGCCAGGAGGAAGCGAGACGGAGAGGAAGCGAAGGTGATGTCTCAAGTTTTGATGTCCCTCTTTCCTTCGGACCGGTTGGAAAAGCTCCTTTGGCAATTTCACGCCCCTTTCAACCGTTCTTTTTCAATGTGCCCTGCGCTTCACCGGTGGATAAGTTTGGGGTTTTAGGGTGCTTGCCTTGTTTCAAAGAAAACCCCAAAGGTTAGATTTAAAGGAGGAACTGAGTTGAGGATGTTGTGCGAACGGAACCACTGAGGGAGTACCAAGAAACTAAAGACAGCTCAACTTCTAGGGGAGAAAAAAACACGCAAAGGTCAAAAGAAATCAGATTAAAATCTTGGGAGGCAGGGTTTTGGTCAAAAATCACCCGGGTCCCATGGCAAAGGAGCAAAAACCCTAACCAAAATACAATTGCACTGTCTTCCTCAATGATGCGTAAAAGCCGCACGCTGAAGCTTGCCACAAATAGCTGTAGAGTTAGCAGAAATGGTTTCCTTGCCTAGGATCCTGCCACAAATCTGCTTCTCATCTCTATCTTGAAGCTCAAGGAGAGCTTTACAGTCTGGTAATTATCTTCATCCCGCTTTTGATTTCAATGATTTTCTCTTGCAAAGCGTGTTCTCTAAAAGAAAAAATGAATGGAAAACGGGCTCTGTCTAGGAGTTACTCCCCAGTAAACATATTCAGGTTCAGGTTTGAAATCCGTGGAAATGCTCAAGAGCCAAACTAACAGAGATTTCCTTCCTTCCTTCTCTCTCCCTCTCACTTTCCAGAGATTGGCAGAGAATTTTCCTTTTAAAAAATTAAATATTATATAAAGTGGAGCAAACAACCTTAAGGAGAACAACCTTTTGAAACTTTTTGGGAAAGAAATAAACACAGCCATTTGGACTTCTCTGGCCTCTAGAAATACAAACACAGCTGCTTCCCCCGTCTTTGCCCTTATTCCTAACTTGCACTTTCACAAATTGCCAGCCCCATGTGCGCCATGCTAGGGGTCTAGTTCCTTACCCCTTGGGGAGGGGCAGAAGAGAGGTCCAAGGGAAAGCCACTGATCATTCAATGCAAATTCACTAGAAATGTGAACGGGGAGCAATTGAACAACTTTGATCCAGAGTCAAAAACTCTTGCAGGACAAAGAAGGAAAGGGAATTTGGAGTTTCTATCTTCTTCCAGTAAGCCCTGGCTTGTCTGAGTAGGCTTATATGTGAATGAGCCGAATAATGTTGTTCCAGGTTCCTCTGATAAAATAAAATCCAGGAGGCAAGGCAATATTGAATTGGTGGTAAGAAAAAACAAAAATAGATCTGTGAAGGGGAGGATGAATTCTAGGGAGAAGATACACACTGATTAGCTTATTAAAGGGGGGGGGAAGATTTGTTCTAAGTTGTTTGTTTTCCCTATCTGGAAACACACGCAGACATGTACTCGTGTACTCATGTTCTATGCAGGCACGCACACCTCCATCAAATTGTTCTCCAACACCAACATTTCATTCTGAAAATCCCCATTTCCTTTTTGCTGGTGGATGGCCCCTGAGGAGTCAATCCAAATTCTCCGTCTTTCCAAGAAAATCGAAATCTGTCCGAGTGGGTGCTTTGGAGCAAAACCACGGGTCTGGGACAGGATCAAGAGGGAAGGTGAAGGGCGTTTAATGCAGCCCAACTTTCGATTTGGGAAGAGAGGCATTTCCTTCTGGAACCTCCACATCGAGAGGCAGTCTATCTATCGAATTCGAAAGAACGGGGGGACACCTAAGCAGAAGTCGGACGTTCTCTTTGCTTCTGGCTTTGCAAGGAGATTGGGTTGATTTTGGTTAGGAACCATGGATGTGATGATGATTGATGATGATTTTGTTGTTCTGTGGCATTTACTGAAGAATATTCAGCAAATGCTGGGAATTGAGGGCTCATTGCAGCCTTATTCCCAAGCCTGAGAAATACCGGGCCGTAAGATCTACCTGATTGCAAGCCGAGCAAAATGTTGCTCATAGCATCATGCAAATTCTCTTCGCTGTTTTGGTCACTCCATCTTGATCGCTCCTAATATTCCAACCGTCATCGGGGAAACTTTTGCCGGCTCATTCCTTGTTATTAGTCTTAGCATAACTAGCATCCGTCAGAAAGCTAAGATACAGGGCTTGGAAGATCAGAAGGGGAAAACGCCTGCCCCCCAGCAAAGGGAAGAGGTGTTTAGAAGCTCGGATAACTTTGGTTTCTCTCCCCCACTTCAACTTTGACTTTACAGAATAGACCCCCTAGCTGGGGACTTTCCTAAAGAAGACCTCGCCAAATTAGACTGCCCGGCTATGAAGTTGAGGCTTGCTCCCCGCCCCTCCAACCCCGCGCTCCCCTTTGCAGGCGAGGAATCGTTCCCTACCTTTGTATTCTGAATCCAAGGAGGGGTTGCTGGTGGCCTTTTCAATCTTCTCTCGAAAGTCCTCGCCCGCCTTGGCCGGGATTGGCATGGGCGCCTCCGGACCACCCTGCCCGTTGCTGCTGGAATAAGGAGCGCACGCGGCCAGGGGTTTGCAGTCCGCCAAAATGTCCCTGATGAGGAAGGACGAGGTCACCGTTCTGGACTGAGCAGAGGCCGAAATCGGCGGCCCCGGCAGGTGAGAGTCCAGTCTCCCCACCCCGCCGGGTCTCTGAGCCGCCGCCTCTAAGCAGTCCCTCCGGGGCGACGGGGGGGACAGGCAGCCGCTGCTGAGCTCCGAGCGAGGGCTGAGTTCCAGGGGCGACCTGCTTTCGCCCAGAAGGGAATCCCCTTTGGGCACAGCTGGGCTCCCGGATCGATGGGACAGGAGCGAGTCGATCCCAAATCCGTTGGCGTTTTCCATGCTTCAGGATGACATTGACCCGCCGTCCGGATCGAGGCTGGGGTGGGGGGAGAGGGAGGGAAAGCCGAGGAAGGAGGCTCGGGTTCGCGTTAAGCACAATTCCTGGCCCGCATTTAACATCCAAGGTGCCGACCTTCCGGGGCGATCAGTGTCCAAACTGGCTGCAACGGAGAGAGAAAAAAGAAAGGGAAAATGTCAAAAGGCAATGGGAAAAGGAATTCTCGGAGGGCGAAGTTGACCTGGGAATGAAACCCGGATCTGAAAGCTCTGAAAAAATGAATCCACCCGTTGGATTCGGGAAGGGGTCTTTGCGACTCAGGCCGCCTCAGACTGGAGCCAGAGGTAAGCTATCGACTTACTCCAGAGGAAGCACCCTGTGATTCAACGGGGCTTCCTCTCCCAAGAAAAGAGGCTGAGGAACCCTTCCCCAAACCGCTCAAGCTGTTGGACTATCTGTTCATTTCTGCTTACTCTGAGGTCAGACCGCGTTGAGTTCAACAGAGCGGACTCTCCCGTAAAAGCGACAAGGCTTAACCTGCTCTCAAACGTCCCGCCACAATCTATGCTCTTGAGTACCACTCAGCCACCCCGATCTCCTACAAAGACAGTCATGAAAGTAAACTTTTACTACAGAGCAACAAGAAGGAAGCCAAACACCAAGGAATGGAAAGATGGGGAAGGAGATCTGATGGAGAAAAGGAAAGGTAGATTCTCCGGAAGGAAGTTTGGGGCTTTCAGGACTATGGACAGTACACAATCTGAATTAACCCCCCCCCCAACAAGGCAGGACATCAAAGCCAAAACTTCCCTTAATACAGGAAACCAGGGAGAAATATCAACACCTTTGGAAACGCTCAGAGTAGCGGGCGAGGATCTGAACCTGGCCTCCTCCCATGATCTACGGGATCCTTTGGGAGAAATCGCTCGGAGGAGGGTTTCTGGGGGGCGAAATGGCCACGGCGTGCTGTTTCAGCACCACGGATAGCTCCAGACGCAGCCACTCGTTTTCCTCCAAGCCTCGCGTGAAACCCTCCAACTTGCGTGACTTTCGTTTGGAATTTCTTCTTTTTCTTCTCCGCCTCCTCTATCTTTCGCCCGTGTTTTTTTTTTTTTAACCGAGATCCTAAGCCCACGTGCCCCGCAGGCCCCCTCTGGATTGGCCAGCTGGCTTTTAGGGTGACGTCACACATGCCACACTGACAGAGAAAACTTGATCGCTCCTCGGTTTGATTAAAACAGACATTGAATTAATTACAGCGCAGATCCAACTGTTAACAGGCAATTTCCACTCTGTTTGCTATCATTACATCGCTGATGAAGTTCTAAATGGGGTTATTAGCAATATGGGGTGGGAGCAGGAAAACGAAGAAGAAGAAGAAGAGAAGCTGGTTTGGGGTATGCTGGAAAATGGGTGCGTTTTAAGCCACTCGTGTTTAGTTCCTGAAGAGTGGAATTATTTTCTCCATTAGCGGTGCCGGCGAAAGACAGATTTTTAAAAAGCCGTCCAGCATCCGAATGGTAAACGTCTTTACAATTTTAGAAGTTTTTTTTAAAAAAGAAAATATTAAGGAGAGAGAAGTGCCGTGACTGGCGAACATTAAAACAGAAAGAAAATAAACTTTGAAATGGTTCCAGCAAAGAACTCAGCCCTTTCTTTCATTTCTCCCCTCCATGAACAAACACCCCCTCCCCTCCACACACACACTTCATGCCTTTATTGATTTGATTTAGCAAAAATCATGATTTCTCCAAAGGGCCCAGATTTTAAAGTTCTTCTTCTTTTAGGGAAAGCCGAATGGAACACTCCTCATTTGCCTATTTACTTAGAAATAAGTTCAGCGGAGTTGACTATGAAATTGGGTTGCCCTGAGACCTCACAGAAGGGCATTTTGGGCAACCATTGAAACTACACACCAGCTCACTGACCACAATAACGATTCTTCTATTACAACTACTACACATTAGCCCTCCTCTTCCTTGGATCGAGACAATTCCCCTTGAATTCGGTGATATGCATGGCAGAGACACCAGGAAGGTAATATTTCAAGAGTAAACCATCCATTTGACCCAAACCCTGAACGTCTGAAGGCATCTTCCAGGAGAACCCAGGTAAACAAGCCAGAGATTCCATTAGCGAACCTGAATTTTGGGGATAAACGTCTATTGATCGCAGCACATTGAGACCACCGTGTCTCTTCCATCTTCAGGGCCTCAAAGGTGTGAAAATTGTAAAGCCCCCTGAATTCAGGAAGGAATCTCCAGTCCAAGAACGACACTGTCAAGAGCATTATTTGGAAGCCTAAATTTGGCGCTGGGGTTTTCAAAAGTCTCCAGCCAGAACGGAGAGTGAAAGGGAGGCTTTACTTGGGAGTAAATGGAAGGGAAGGGAAGAAGAGAAAATGAAAAGAAGTGAAGCTTTACATTTATATTTCAGAAGGGACAAAGGGGGGAATATATAGATATATATTTTGATTTCAAGAAAAGTCATCACCTGGACGATCAATATCTTCCAGGGCTCAGGATATTCAGACTTTTGCAATGAAATAAACCACAGACAGACAACAGCTCAGGTTAGATAGAGTCCACTAGAGTTGGGCAGCCATAACAAAATCGAAATAATAATAATAATAATAATAATAATAATAATAATAATAATAATAATAATGGCAAATACTGGAGGGAGAGAGGAGATTCAGTGTGATTTTCTTCAGCCCTCAGCCCCAAACCGTTCCCTTTTTCGAAAGGACAATCAGCAGATCACCATTTTTTCACCCAATCCTCCCTACGCCCAACCCCTCCACCCGCAAAATACACACCAAAGGAAAAGAGCTGATTTTTAGGGCCATCAGGAGTGACTCTCTGAATGCATGGGAAAGGCCCAGCACCCTAAAGACACAGCCTTGACAGATTCCAATTCAATTCACAGCTTTGCAAGAATAGTATTAGTTGCCGTTGTTATTATTTCAAAAATGCACAGAGTAACTTGAATTAAGTGACAGTGACACCGTCAGACACCCACTAAAAATTACTAATATTCCAGGGAGGGGTCTCTCCACCGCTTCCTTTTTTAGGGATAGGCTATTTTATTTCCCCCACCCCCAGCTGGGTCCGCTGCTCCACATGTTTCCTTAGAAGTCATCTGCTCCGTTGAATCGAGGCCCAGGAAGAACCACATTGTCTCTCCAGGCTGCCCATGAACGCCGTGAGGTCCTCTCCCCTGGGAATCTCTTGGCGCTGACGCACGGGGGCTCCCTGCTGCCTGAAGGCCCCCTCTCTTCTGAGGGAGGCTGAAGAAGGAAGGAAGGAAGGAAGGAAGGAAGGAAGGAAGGAAGGAAGGAAGGAAGGAA